ATCCTGAACAAGCTGCTTCACCTCTTTAGTTTGCTTCTTCATCTGTAAAATGGGAATAAAACCTATCTCATAGGATATGTGTCAGAATTGAATGAGATTATACAAAATATTTAGTAAGCCATTTTCATTATTATTACCATTACTAAAGACACTACTATATCAAAGCTCATAAACAAACTTAATATACTAGCACTCACTAACTGAGCAAACAAGCATTTACCAAGAGCTTGTTTTCTGACTCTTACCACTATGCTGGTCAATGGAAGGATTGAGAAGATCTGTGTGTGTAAAGAATGTAAACAAGTAATTAAAACATTACTGGGTGAGATTAATAAGGTTCAGCAAAAACTCTCTTAACCATCATCCAGTTAAAACCAACTCAAAGAATTTCGTTCTGCAAAACATATTAATGATGCCCACAGCATTTTAGAAGCTCTAGGCTAACAGGCCGCATCAGCTAGCTCTTGGTTAATTGTTTCCATCAGGTGTTAGATTAAAAAAAGTTGGCTGTGTTTGTATGCAAACCAGTTCACGCCTGTTAAACTTAACGTAATTATACAGAGTAATTAAATATTACATAAGCCAAAGAAAACTTAAATGCAAAATACAGAATTATTTCCATGAAAAAAAAGCTGGATGCTTTGAAAAACTCTATAAAGATAAACAGGTTTGAAAAACTGCCGTCATATTAGGTAAAGTGACAATTAAAAACATAATGAGGGTCTGGCCTGGTGGTGTAGTGATTAAGTTTGTGCACTCAGCTTCAGTGGCCCTGGCTTCGCCAGTTCGGACCCCAGGTGTGGACCTACGCACCGCTCATCAAGCCATGCTGTGGCAGGCATGCCACATATAAAATAGAGGAAGATGGGCACGGATGTTAGCTCAGGGCCAATCTTCCTCAGCAAAAAGAGAAGGATTGGCAACAGATGTTAGCTTAGAGTCAATCTTCCTCAAAAAGAAAAAAAAATTACACACACACACACACATATACATATATATATAATGAGTGGGCCGGCTCAGTAGTGTAGTGGTTAAGTTCATGCTCTCTGCTTTGGCGGCCTGGGGTTCATTGGTTTGGATGCTGGGCACGGACCTATACACCGCTCACCAAGCCATGCTGTGAGGGCATCCTGCATACAAAATAGAGGAAGACTGGCACAGATGTTGGCTCAAGGCCAATCTTCCTCACCAAAAAGAATCTATAATGAGGAAAATAATAAAAATCTAAAAGACTTGCACAGTGAAGCTGCTACACAAGGATCTTTATATTCTTGTTCCATGTTAAAGAACACAAAACTGAAAAGGATTTAGTAAAGATGACAAGGAATTTCAATCAGGGGATCCCTATCAAAGAAAAGGCCCTGCCCCATATCACTATCTACATTTTAAATTTTAAGTTTAATGAAAAGAGTCACTAACTTTTATTTTTTAAATAGGAAAGTGGCTCCCATCTACAAAGTCCAAACTTAAGCTTCAAGGCACAAACTTTTCTAGCTCTTACTTTGCAAAAATGACCTTTACAGAACATATACATACTCATAAATACGAATCTTTAGTTTAGAAGTGAAATCTCAGGGTACATTCCATGAGATCTGGGACCTTGCCTGTCTTGTTCAGCACTGTATCCTCGAGAAATGGAACAGTGCCTGGTGCAAAGTACTCAAATATATGTTTATATAGGCTAACAGTTAAAGCTAGGTATGGATGAGATTGCCCACAGAAGATATTTAACCTTTTTTAGATCTCTTTGAGGCTGATGAGACTTTGGAATGATGTTTTCCTAGAAATATGGGCATTTTTACATACACACTCAATTTTGCATATAATTTCAGGGAATTCACAGACCACATAACACTTATGCCTGCATCAGTCAGGAGTCTATTGATCTGAGGTTTAATAACCACCAATAATAAAGAAGAGGGCTAAGGAAAGAACCATTGAGGGCACCAAAAATTAAGGAGCAAACGAATGTAGAGAACTTAGCAAAGAAAAGGTCTGAAAAGTAAGAGGAGAACCTTAATGTTATTAAGAAACCAAGAAAAGAATTTTTCATAGGGGAGTGATCTGCAATGACAAATGTAGTATAGATGTACAAAACACAAGCATTAGACCTGGCATTATGGCTGCCTAGAAACTTTACTGGAGTGACAGGGCATGGAAAGCAAGTTGTGGTTGTTTGAAAGACTGAATAAAAACAGAGGAAGTAGAAACAGTGAGCACAAAAAACTAAAATTCCCTCATTTTTAATAACTATCTTTCAACAAATTATTCATTTAGTGCCTATTATAGGCATGATGCTAGGCATCCTATCTGTATCCTGCCCAAATACCCTATTCTCAAGAAACTTGACTATACCCTCTTTACAACTCTCTTTCTCACCTTCAAACTCCTAATAACTCCTCTATATAATACCTCAATAACTTTCAACTGGCTGAATAAATAAATCATATATTCTATGTTTTTTTACAGAGCTCAACAGAGTCTAGGAGAATATTAGACTTACTATATAGGTCTTTTATGAACATGTGATAAATTTTCCTATCACAAGAATTACAGTATTCTTTGAACTAACCACTTCTATGACTTTAATTCATGATGCTAGTCAATGACATTCTTAAAGACATATGTCCAACTGACACTCCCCCAAAAATATAAACAAAAAACTATCCCTGAGAGTCCTCCCATCACCCTCTCACATCCTAAAAGTCTGTTACCATAAGTCTCTGAAAGAAAAACTAAAATATTCTTTTATTAAAAGTCCCCCAAAAGGCAATTTTAATTCTCAAAATGGCTCAACTCTCATTTTACAAATGAGCAAACTATAGCCTATTAGTTAAGTGAGTTGCCTAAGTCTATCTAAGATACTGAAGAAATTATCCCAACACTAGAAAAATGACTTATAGTCTTTTTGTGACAATTTGTTAATGTTTATTACTAATCTATTAACCATTCATTTAGTCGACAAATAATTACTGAGTTCCTTTCATATGTCAGGCACTAGAACAAGATAGGCCTGGTCACTCCCTCATTCTAGAAGAGACAAACTTTAAAACTTAAGACAATTGGGTAAGTGCTTCAATAGTATGAGAACACACAGAGGACCAGGGTAGGTTTTGTTGCTTGTTTTTGTTGTTGTTTTTTCTTTTTTTTAAATTTTGGTGAAAGGATGAGAAAGGAGTAGGGAGTAGGCTGGTCAAGGAAGGCTCTCTCAAGTATGTGACCTTTGAGGGGGAATTCTGAGAAATGATAAAGTACATTGGGAACAAGAGTGGGGCAATGAGGGAAGAACACTCCTAGAGGAAGGAATAGCATGTGTCCAGGCCTAACACAAGGACTATGGCAGGTTTAGGGAATTCAACAAAAGCCAGCACAGCCAGCTCACAGAGCGAGGGGGAGAAGAGCCTAAGATAAAGCTAGAGACATGGGCAGGAGCTACATGACCTTTTCATACAGTACTTAATTTAAAAGCACTTTAACATGTTTCTCTCTTGTTCCTCAACAAACTTTGTGAAGTAATTACTTATTTATTAATCCAAATCTAATGACATCACTCCTCTCTAGAATGCCCAGAGGGTAAGGTCCAAGTTACTTAGAACCCCTTGTCTGCTAATAGTTACACTCCTACTGGATTTTGTAGATGCTACTATCACCTAAGCAACCTATATTGAACACATCTTCAAAATAGCACTTTCTAAAAAGCATGAAATCTTTGAAACATTTTTTTTAAAGCATTAATAACAACAGCCACGTATCTACCATCCAGCTTAAGGTATACATCCTGACAAGTTTTTTAAAACTATGCATTTACAGGTCTGTCTTCTCCATGAGACTGTGAACTCCCTGAAGTTAGGGACTGTGTGTTACTTAACTTGATATCTAGCACTAAGCACTTAATACTTGTTTAACATAAAGGAATCTCCCAATACAGATAGAAACACCAAGGTTCACAGTGTGCCGCCTCAAAACCAATAATCAATCATTGAATTCAGTTAAATATTAAACAATTTAGCTTTTTCCATACATGTTTGCAACTTTGTAATACTGGATTTATTCACCATCAATCAATCAATATAATTTTCAGTCTACATGTTACCAGGCCATTTTTTAAACATTCGAAGAAGGTATTCATTGAACAAATAAGCTACTGAAGTATACTGTTAAATGCTGGGAACATGAATTTCAATTACACAAATTTTATGCCTTAGATAAACTCAAGACTTCTCTCTTAAGCATGCCTCTGGCTAAAGTCTTCGAGAGGGGAAACTCTCTCACAGAATTGGTCCAAAGTTTGGATGCTTCCAGATTTAAAAAAATAAACTCCACTTCAGATGAAACTAAGATGAGGGAAGGAAGTCAATCACACCTGAGTACACGCCCAAGATAACTAGTTTTTTTCCCCTTCAGAAAAGGAATTACTGGTGGGGAGTAACAAGGAAGTTGTGTTGTATGTGTACATGTGTTTTGAAGGGGTGTGGGACAGGGAATAATTAAAAAGGGAAGTAATCAAAAACTCGATTTTTAAGACAGAATCAAATGTAAAATGGCATGTAAAGAATCAGATTTGTTCATGAGTCTTCTACACACCTTTTCTACACAGAGTTGTAATCGTTACACAGCAGTTAATAAAAAGGCCTTACAGGCCTTGTAGTTCTTGGCCGCAAAGAAGCTTCAGCAGTCACCATCCCGCCTCCTCCGCACCGCCCAGCAACTCCAGGTCCCTCCTGCCTGCTAGCGGAAGCTGCCCTGGGCCGTTGGACTGGCGCGGAGCTAGGTCGGTGACTCAATCGAGGGGCACAAGCGGGAGGGAACACAGCGGACTCCAGTCGGTGGCCGGGCCAAAGAAGGGGTCAGCCTCAGCCACCACCTGAGGTCAGCCCGTCCAGTGAGAAGTTCATTGCCCGAAGAGAGACCAGAGAACCCAGCTCTCCGAGAGCAGCAGGTATTTCCGAATCGCTTGCTAGGGCTTTAGGTCTTCCCGCGCCCGTCCCGCCCGCAGTTACCTTCCCAAGTGACATCGTAAAGCTCTGAAACCTTCGCCATCTTCTCAGAACCTAGAGGCAGCGGGGTGAGAGGGCGGGGAGGCGCGGTCACGTGACCTGCAACCAGGAGGTGGAGAATTACGACACCATCTCTCATTGGCCGAGAGAGCGGAGGGGGCGGGACCCGCTGCGCACGTGCACGCGGCCCTGCGTAGGGCCTATCGGGGGAGGGGGCGGGGCGAGCTGGGCGGTGCGCACGGCGCGCCGGGAATTTGAGGACGCTCTGGCAGCTGGTCGGGCGGCTGAGTTCGCTTGGGGTGAGGTGTCTGTTTTGCCGTTTTACTTTTAACAAATGCTGGGTTTTTAATGTACGCCACTCCTGGTTTTTCATTTTTCTCCACATAGGTGTATTTATTCTCTTCCCACTCCATGGCCTGCTGCAGCGCAGCGTTCTGATCGAATCCCTTAATTGTCCGCAACTTTCCTTAGGGATTCGCTTTCCATTTCCTGTGTGTGTTCGACTAAATTGATAGACTCCAAAATTTGTCATTGAGTCTCTGGGGGACTAAGCAGGATTCTGCCTTTGCACATTATGTTCCCGTCGGCGAGGACTTCTTAATGCTCACTTGAATGCTTGGTGCCAACCTCTGCCCCTAGTTAGCGCTTCTCGTCGATCCCTGTCTGCCTGCCCCTCTGCGTTTGAAACTCCGTGAGAGCAGCCAGTATGTAAGTGCTTATAAATAAGTGAATAAATGAAATAATAAATGTACAAATGAGACCATCACAGCCTTATCCTTCGCTCCCCCTCTTAACCTCACTGGGGAGCCTCCTTTCCCACAAGGCTAATTGCCTTTGGACCTAGTCTAGAGCTAGGGAGAAATGTCTGGAGTAGAAGCAACAAATTTGAGCATATATTTAGTATTTGAAGCAATAACAACATAAAATTGTAAAGGGAGACTATGTAAAATGAGGAAAGAAGGCTAAAAATCCCTACATAACAGCTACAGTTAAGGGTCAGTGAAGAGGCAATCAAGATAGGAGAAAGGAGAAAAGAGAGCCATATCCCATCAAGCCAAGGGAGTAGACTTAAAAAAAAAGAAAGAAATTATCAATGGCACCTGCCACAGAGAGTTTACATAAGGACAGAAAAGACTAGTGAATTTATAAACTTGGATTAGATTCTGAATGAGCTTCGTTCTCTCCAGACGTTTGAAAAAGCCCTTCATTCAAAAAATTAAAAATCCTTCTCTCAGAAATTTACGTATTCTAATACTTAATAAAACAACCTTGTGTAATGGAAAGAACAAGAACTCATCAGACAGTTTTGAATCCAGGCTCTACTCTTTCGTAACTAGTTGACTTTCAGCATGTGTATCTCTCAACATCAGAGTTGTTTATGTGTAAAAAGAAGCTAATTATGTGACTATAAAAAGAAAATATCTACCTTGAGTTGTTGTCAAGATTAAAGGAGATACTGCATGACACTCTCATGGAGATACCAGTCCTGTGGCTGCCAATACTATTTATATGCTCCTGACTCCCAAATTCATAAATCGGGCACTCATTACTTCTACCCTGAAACTCAGTTCAGCTTTCTTAACATATTCATTTAGCTGGCTAATATGCATCTGAGAGTTAACATATCCCAAACAGAACTTTGGATTCCTGCCACCAGGCCCCCCAACTTGCTCTTCCCCATCACTTGATGAAACCATCCACCTAGTTGCACAAACTAAAATTCTACGAAGTATCCTTGAGTCCCTTCTTTGCCAACCATGCTGTATCCACTCTATCAGCAAATTCTGTATGGTACTTCCAAAACTTTCAGAAAATCCATCTATTTCTTTTCATCTCCACTGCTACTGCCTTAATCTAAGCCACAACCATCTCTCACCTGAATAACTGTAATAGCCTCCTAATCTCCTTACTTTCCTGCTATGTGAAATCTCTTTTCTGTACAGCAGCCCTACTGGTCTTAAAAAACACACACACAAAAGTCCTTTGCTTAAAGCTCTCAAATGGTTCCCTCTGTCAATAAAAATACTTTACCATGGTTTTTACAGGGTTTTACTCAATCTCTCTCCCTCCAATACCTCTTACCTCCTCTCCTACCATTCTATTTCTCTTCTGTAGACCCCAGCCATTCTCACCTACTTTCTGTTTCTCAAACATGCCGACCTCCTGTCTGCCTTGGGTCTGGCATTTGCCCAGCTGTTCCCTTTTCCTGAAACGCTCCCCTTCAGATCTTTAAGTGATTAAGTCTTCTTTTTGTTTTTCGTATCTCAGTATTGTTTACTTATTACATAAGTTCCTTGAGAGTATGGGCTTTGTCATACAAGAAACTAGCTGGAAATTAGAGCTGGAAACTAGAATAATTTCATTTTAGACTTCAAAGGTATTTATGATTTTAAGAACAATGTTTTTCAAACTTTTTTGCCTGCAATTCATATTAAGGAATACATATATTTGAAACTGAAAATTTATGAACTACCCTTACAATGTGTCTTGTCCTCTATATTTTCTATTCAAATTGAATCAATTCCATTTTATTTTCTAAAACTACTACTTGTGACCCACAAATTGGGTAATGACTCGTATTTTGAAAAGCATTGTTGGGCATTGTACGTGTTTCCTTTTTTTTTTTTTGAGGAAGATTAGCCCTGAGCTAACTACTGCCAATCCTCCTGTTTTTGCTGAGGAAGACTAGCCCTGAGCTAACATCCATGCCCATCTTCCTCCACTTTATACGTGGGACGCCTACCACAACATGGCTTTTGCCAAGTGGTGCCATATCCGCACCAAGGATCAGAACCGGTGAACCCCAGGCTGCCAAGAAGCGGAACGTGCGCACTTAACTGCTGCGCCATGGGGCCGGCCCTGTACGTGTTTTCTAATCTGAAGCCCCGAAATGAAATGATTTGCTTAAGTTCTTGCCACTAGTAGGTAACAAAGATGGGAAATTTATGTGGAGGCGATGAGTTGTTTAGATCATAGATCAGAGATGAAATATTTGCGGGAAAAATGTATTTAAGGGAAATTTCATCACCAGTAGTACTCTCTGAAGCAGGGAAAGTGAGTGTCTGTTTGTATATTACAACATTTCAGATGTCTTATAAAACTTGGTTCCTCAGGTACACTCAGGAAAAAACTATATGTCAGTGACAAAACTTCTGTATTCTTCTTTAACATTTTATAACATAATTTTCAATGTAAATAAAAAAGAAATATGCTCTATGGATAAAACCATAACTGTGAGAACATAAACGTCAATCATACATTCTGTAAATCCAACATTCTATAAAAATCTTCTCAAAGTTTTACCTCTCACCCTCTCACTACTTTGAAAAAAAAATTTTCATTCATGTATGTTATAAATATTTAATTGGTTTTCTCTGAACACTACCCAATATTGGTGACAAATATCAAGAAAATATCCAAGCAGCCAAATATTAGATTCTGCTGTGTCAGACACCATGGGAAGCACTATCTCATTTAATGATCTCAACAGCAAATAAGAAAGCCACGTGAATGTGCTCTATGATACACTTTTTTTTCCATATAAGACTATCTTATGATTTTTCTTTTTTTTCCTACAAGGTTATGTTTGGATAGTTACAATGATAATACATGATAATGAACAAGGGTCAGAGAGAAATAACTTTGAATAAACCCACATTTTCTTTGCGCTTATTAGATGGGATAAGCTTTGATTATTTATCAAGCTGGATTGGCCCACAGAGCACTTAGAGTGCTTCTCTTTTATGGTCAGGGTTTACTTAATTAAATTAATATCTTCAAACATTATGAAAGAAACTTCTTAAATTGAATAAACCTTATGGCATTTACAAAATGGACATTAACAGGACAGAGCATAATACCATTTTAATTGATTTTGTAATATTCAACATTATCATCAGATCATTTATTTAGAATCTACTGTCTTTTTGTTCTGTCTTAATCATAGTGAATTAAAGTATCCCACATTATGTAGCACAATTTATAACCTCTATTTACTCTGACAATTATCCATCAAAGTAAATTGGTCTCATTACAAATCTTATATAAAATTCACCATAGCTTTTAAGTCATGTTATTGTTTCTAATTAGTGAATTGTAACCATAATCCCTTTGTGGTTAAGGAAAAATATTATTTCATCTTCGTTCCATGTCAATAGATTTTCACTGTAACATGTTCACATTTGGAAGGAAGTTTTCCTTAGAGTTTTATTTACCAAAAGCCAGATTAACGTGAAGTTGTTTTAGGATCTTCTGAACATTGTTTTTTATTACATTTTTAAAAGAATATGTAATTTATTATGTTTACCCAAAACACAAGAGCCTGTGCCCCCTTTGCTGGCACAACTATAGCATTTAGACACTTCTGGTTTTTCCAAGTTTGCCGTCACTTGCAATATATGTTTTAAAATGTGCCAGCTGTTCATTTCACATCCAATTATATTATTTTACAAAGCAAAGAAGAGTCTCTGGGAAACATTTCCAGTGAGATCACTTTGGTCCTTTCACAGTAGAATTCACAAACTGATAATTACCCTTCTGTGCCATAGTTGTAACAGTGAAGAGGAAAGTACATCCAGAAAGAGTACACCCAGAATTTCTCCCACATGGGCAATAAATCAGAGCTAGTTCTTTTTGAGATTTATAACCATACTTAAGAGTCTGCTTTTTAAATGGTATTTATTTAATTTCCCCAAAGTGTGTATTCTGTTCTGATACACACATACATCTGTGCATATGTAACAGTCCTTGTGCAAAAATGTGTTTTCATAAACATCCCTTTTGAGTATCAAACATCCAGGAGTCCCTACATACTATTACTGTGACCTGATGGTCTCTGGAGCCCATCTAGACTATATTTTCTACAATAGAACTGTAACTAAATTCTTCCTTGAAAACTGTTCAAAAAAGTATTTATTCACAGTAAACAAATTGCATTATGGGTAAACTCATGCAAAAATATGCTGAATATTAACTTATAAATTTTTTATAATTACGTGTTATTCTGTTACAGATGTAATTTTCATTTTTCAACATCTCTTTCTTCAGTGGTTTGGTAGCATCACTCTAGCCACAAGTGACTAAGTTATTTGCTCAGACCTGTATTTCTGAGGTATCTTACGCTTGCCACCAGGCCACAAGGTCGTTTACTTTACTGGTAATCTTTTTCTTTCCATGGTCATGCTGACCACTCTTGGCCAAAATTGGCTTACAGGCCAGTAGCCACATTGGGCATAAGGTGTCCATCTCATCTTTCAGATCATAAATCATATGGTTTTTTGCATATAGGAGGGCTTATTTAGTCACTCCATGGATTTATTTGGGAAAAAGACTGGTTTCCTGGCAGAATGTCTATAAGAAAACTGCCCACCCCCTAAAATCCATTCCACCAACCCCATCCAGCAGTCACCACTTCATTCCTGCGGAAAAGGCACGATCTCAAATGTTTTTTTAACTTTATGTAACATGGTTTTTTAAATTGTACTTAAAATTATTTATCTTAAAACTATGAGGAAGGAGCAATGTAGGTGTACTCCAAAGCTTCCACTC